GCTACATGATAGCACTTCATGAACTGGAAAACACACAGGCAGATAAAATATTTTTCAAATTCATACCCTAACAGTGTTGATATCCAAAAGTCATGTTAATGCTACTACTGTTAATTAATTTTACAGTAAAATCAATTAATAGATATTCATTGTGTTTTCTACCTCCATTAGACTATACAATGAATATTTGTTAATCTCAATTGGATGACATTGCCCATTATTCTCACAAATCATAGTGATTTAATGAACTATACAGAATTTACTGTAGGTGGATCTTCCCCAAACTTTGAGGAACTGAGGAGTAATGTCTCCTTACAGTATTAATCATTTTCCCCAATGGTTCTATCTGTGGTCTAGCATCATTATCCAGCAGGCCAGATTCCAGCTCTGATCTTGCCCTAACTCCCTGGAAGTATCAGGAAAAAGGCGAGAGAGAACATTGTCTTGGGATTATCTTCCTAGGCTCTGTCTGGATGGCACCCACCATGTGTTTTTGAGTGCCACAGGCTCTCTGCCAGCCTCAGAAGAAAACTATAGAGGGTAGAGGTGTTGCAGCTCATGAGCAGCTGTGTTACTTTCTATTTGCCCAACCATGATTTACTCCCTTGGCTTCCTCTGTTGAGCTAATGGGCTGCCTATGGGCATAGCTACTAGAAGAGGAATAGTTGGGTGTCTTCATTTCTTTTTGTCTCCAAGATGCCCTGGTCTACCCTCTTTCCAGAATACATGGCCTGCTAGTAGGTTGAACATATACCCCAGTTTGTTTGGGACATTCTCATGCCATGTCTGGTAACCTACCATAATTATTAAGAGCATATCCTTTAAATGTCAAAAATGTTCCAGTTTGGGCAATAAGTCATATGGTCATCCCACTGATCAGGCATACAGTGGCTTCATACTCACAGCTTGGGTATATATGTGTGTGTATATATATATATATATATATATATATATATATATATATATAATGGTGGAAAGAGAAATCAACAATTATGAAAAGAAAAGGAAAAAAAGAATGCAATAGGTTTGCTCATGTATTCATCAGCTATTTATGAATCTCCAAGAATGAGTAAGGTATCTTATATGAGCCAATCAAACATGAATCAGACATGGATTCTGACCCCTAGGTTCATATGTACTACCTGATGAGATTAGATATCTGTGACTCAAATACAAGGTAGAAATGAGGTATAAATTTATAGTTTATAGGATTTAGAGTAACTTAACTTTTTAATCCAGATTTGGAAAGATGTCAATAATTGATGATGGAGGAGTGGCATTGAGTTGAGCATTATACAGTAAAACAACAGAATCACTCCAGATGTCTGTCTGAAATCAATTAATCTGGAGTATTGTTCACACTAGCTGGTTCATTACTTCCATTCATAGCATTGGGTGTTTTTCTTTGTTTTATTTAAAGTTCCTTCTGATATTACTTTGTTTTACTTTTCAGATGCTGATCTGCACACTGCAGTCAATGAAGAGAAACATAGACTTCCTATCTTCCCAGATAGGGTGGTGAGTCAACATTTAAAGATGTTTTTCATAGTCAGGATATATTAAATAAACCAAGAGTTGCCAGATTCAAGACTAGAAAATGTGGCCTTCATTCAGACTATTCAGTAAAGAGAGAAAAACCATGAACTATCATTAATAGCTGTGAGTAGTATCAAATAATGGATTCAAATTGTAACACTGGGTCTTTTCCTAACCAGTAAGCCCATAAATAGTTACCAAATAAATGGTGCATATGGGAGAAGTCCTTAAGATGGTATTACATATAATAGGCAGCTGTTTTAAGCTATCATTCTTTTCATACTGCCAACATGGCCAAGACTGCCTTGTGGAAGTATCCTGGTGATGGAATGGGACTCTATGGGACACAATCAGAAAACAACATAATTCTTTCTCTCTATCATCTCTTCAAAGCCACTTGGTGGACTTTTTTCTCTGTCTCCAAATAAAGTCTTAGGCAGATTCCATAGTTTTTCTGTCACTTTCAAATGATAAAAATTTCCCCAATTACTAGTAGTCATGAAAACAGCCTCTGAGTTGCCCCATCCAATGTAACAAATCACATGACTCCAAACATCATTCCAAGTTAAAACTTCTCCCCTTCACCTAGCTAGGATCTGCATCAGCTGGCAGCCTGCTTTGTGGGAGGGTTGCGGAGAGGCTGAGATTTTTGACCTTTTCAAGGTTAGGGCCAAGAAAGAGGGGGTCTAATGCAAAAGGAACACTCATACGTAGCTGGTTCTATCATGATTTGGTAATGGTGGTGTCCGGATGTTTCCCAATGCTGATTCTTTGTCTTATGAGAGACTTTTGGGGGTTTCCCACTGGGAGACAGATCAAAAGTAGTTTTGTAAGAGAGGAGATGTCTTGATCCTCAGCTCTTGGGTTTCCAGCCCTCAACCCTTCCACTGGGTCAATTTATCCATCTTGGGTAGAGCTCCTTTCAAGATGGTTCTCAGCCAACTCTTTCCCAAGGGTGGAGTTGGCCTATAGGAAAAAAAAAACTTTGATTGCCCTGGTTAATTAAACTACATGCAGCTTGCTCTAACAGTACAGACTGCGGCTCTCTTTTCACTGTACCTCCGTGGATTCAGAGCCACAGTCTCCTGCTTTTAGGCTTCTCAGGCAGGTGTCAGCCTCCTTGAATGCCAGGAGGCACATAAAATGGCTTCCTAGTGGTTCTTAAATCTCACCCAAAAATAAGGGTAAGACCCACCCATCAGGTCTACAGTGTCTTGGGTACTTCTTTTTGGCTACACACATTGACACACATTTATTTCTCTCATTCTAAGTAAAAACCATATAATTTTTGTGAACCAACATGAAGGACACAAATAATCCATTATACTAGTAGACTGAATAGTGTCCCCCAAATTTCATGTCTCTCCAGAACTTCAAAATGCGTCCTTATTTGGAAACAGGGTCTTTGCACATGTAATTGGTTAAAGATTGAGATGAGATCATACAGGATGAGGGTGGGCCATAAATCCAATGACTAGTGTCCTTGTAAGAAGATGAGAGGACACAGAGGAGAAGGCCATGTAAAGACCTAGGCAGAGATTGAAGTTATGCTATCACAAGCCAAGGAACACCTGTGTGTTAGTCCATTAGTGTTGCTGTAAAGGAACACTTTGAGGCTAGGTAATTTATAAAGAAAAGAGGTTTAGTTGGCTCATGGTTCTGCAGGCTATACGAGAAACATGGCACCAGACTCTGCATCTAGTGAGGGCCTCAGGCTGCTTCCACTCATGGCAGAAGGCTAAGGGGGCCTGCATGTGCAGAGATCACATAGCAAGAGAGGGAGCCTCTTTTAAACAATCAGCTCTCGTGAGAAATTTTAGAGCTCATGACCAGGAGAATGGCACCAAGCCATCTATGAGGGATCTGCTCTCATGACCCGAACACCTCCCATTAGGCCCCACCACCAACACTGAGGATCAAATTTCAACATAAGTTTAGGAGGGGTCAAACATCCCAACCATAGCAACCTGGAGTGACCAGAATCTGGAAGAGGCAAGGAAAGATTTTGCCCTAGAGCCTTCAGAGTGAGCATGGCCTTGTGAAACCTTGGACTTCTGGGCTCCAGAACTGTGAAAGAATAAATTTTTGTTATTTTAATCCGCCAATGCCTAGCAATTTGTTATGGCAGCCCTGGGAAATAATTATTATTGTTTGGGATTTGTACTTCGTTATTGGTGACATTGTTGTTTTGGTTTGGATACATGCTTCAGTCTTGAAACTTGAAAATTATGGCCCTTTAAAATACCTAAGAGCAATGTCCAGAATAGGCAAGTCTACAGAGACAGAGGTCGACTAGTGTTTGCTTGGGGCCAAAGTGGGAATGAGGATTGACTGCAAATGGGCAGGAAGGATCTTATTGGGGTGATGGAAAGACTAGATTGTGGTGATGGTTATGCAACTTGATAAATTCACTGAAAGCCACTGAATTCCTGCACTTAAAAGGGGTGAATTCCCAGTAGAGCTCATTTTGAACAAATCTAAGGGCAGAAGATAATTTAGCAGCCAGAAACCATCTAGTCTCTGACGGGGTATTCTTAGGACAATATATTAAAACTTATCAGTCAGGCAAATCAGCGGCCAAGGTTCCTAAGCCCGTTTTGATTATAAGCTGCCCGAATGAACCAGGGATTGGAGAGGGTATTGTGACAAGCATATTTTCCTTTGTTCTGTTGTTACCAGAGCATTCAGTAGAGGACTTTTACTTTCTGGGTGGAGGAAATAAAAACCAACTCTCTAGCTGTTCTGTTCAGATTCCCATTTAAGGAACTTTCCAATGCATTTATCTTGAAGATAACCAACCTCACAGCTCATAAATAATGGTGTCTTGAATAACTAAAATTTCTAGAATGTCAAAGCCTTAACTCCAAATAAATGATACCACTGAAAAAAAAGTAAAATACACTGTGAAAAAAATTAAATTCAGAGCTGATACACACACACACACACACACACACACACACACACATACAAACACACACATACATAATGTGAATTTTTAATTGAAGTATAACATGCACTTAGAAAAGCACACAAATCCTAAGTGTTCAGCTTGATGAATTTTCACAAACTGGACACATCTGTATAACTCACACTCAAATAGAGAAACACAACATCGCTGACTTACAACATCATAGATTGCTTGCCTGATTTTGACCCTTATATGAATGGAATCGTAAAGTATATAGTCATTTATTGTCTGCTTTTGTTCAATTTATGAGATTTGTCTATTTTTAGTATGTAGGTGTAGTTTATTTTCATTGCTGTATAGAATTCCATTGTGTGAATACACCACTATATTAGTTTCTTATTGCTGCTCTAATAAATTAGCACAAATTTAGTGGCTTAAAGCAACACGAATTTATTCTTTTATAGTTCCGAAGGTTAGAAATCTAAAATGGGTCCACACCTCTGTGTTTCTTGTGGAGGCTTTAGGGAATAATCTGTTTCCTGGCCTTTTCCAGCTTCTAAAGTCTACCTTCATTCATTAGTTCCTGACTCCTTCCTCCGTTTTCAGAGCCAAAAGGGTAGCAGCTTCTCTGTTCTCTGGCTTCTGCTTCCATCCTCACATCTTCCCTCTAATCTCTGCCCACCTTGCCTCCCTTTTATAAGGGCCTGTTTGATTACATCAGGCCCACTCCAATAATCCAGAATAATGTCCCTATCTCAAGATCCTTAACTTAATCACAATCTGCAAAGTCTCTTTTACCATGTAAAGTATTCACAGGTTCTGGGAATTAGGACATGAACATCTTTGAGAAGCCATAATTCAGCCTACTATAATCACAATATGTTTATTATTTTATCCTATTGATGGGCATTTAGGAAGTTTCCAGTTTTTACCTAATTAAATTAATCCCACTATGAACATCCTTTTTGGTGTTTTGGCTTCACTGTTGGGTATATACATATAATTTTTGGGTCATAGGGTATGTGTACATCTAGCTTTAGGAGATTCTGCAAACAAGTTTCCAATGTTGTTGTACCACTTCATACTCCAACCAGCAAAAGCATGAGAGTTCCAGTCACTCCATATCCTCGCCAATATTGCCTCTTTTCTTCCTTCCTTCCTTCTTTCCCTCCCTCTCTATCTCTTTCTTTCTTTCTTTCTTTCAACAGCTGATATAGTTTGTGAGTTCTCAGTACCTGAATCTGTGCCTCATTGTGATGTTTTAAAATCCCTTGTCCTCCAAAGCTGAAGATTCCTCGGGCAGTTCCTGTTCTCAAAATGGATGCACCATCTTCAAGTACCACTCTAGCCCAATATGACAGTGACTCAAAGAAGAACTATGGATCCCAGCCAAATGTCAACATGCAGTATATTCCAAGGGAAGACTGCCCTGACTGGTGGCAAGTAAGAAAACTGAAAAGGTAAACCCCAGCTTTCAGGCCAGCTGCCCAGTATGGAGAGTAGACACTACCCCACTGCCTTGAACCTCAGCCTCAAAGCTGTTGATGCAGGCCTTAGGGCTGTCCTCTCAGAAAATGTTTGGCACTTGAGCCAGAGGTCTGGGGAAGCAGGGGCCCCACTGGAGCTGAGCACCATAGACTTTCCATTTAGATTATCCCATCCAATAATCTAAGTAGTAATTGAACATTTTATTTCCTCCCCTTTATTATCCCTCTTCCCACAAACAACCCCACATTCCAGAACACAGAATCTTTAAAATATATCCTTTCTATGAAAGAGCTTCAGATGGGCTTTCTTTTGTAATGTGCTTCAGCGTCACTAGCCAATGTCAAGTAGCATTTCAAGCAAGGCCATGGCTTGCCTTCTCAGGGTGTACACCTTCACCTCTACTGACCTGATGGGTCTTCTAAAGATTCTAAAGCCAGAATTGAAAACACTTTAAAAGCATTACATAAATTGTGTTTATCATGTATCTCTGGGGTCTGGCGCCAAGCCTGCCCCACACTTGATGCTCAATAACTGTTGAATTGAATTGAATTGTGAGATGACCACCCAGAAAGGGTCAAGTGGCTCCTGTTCCTTATTTGCTGCCTCAAATTCCCTCCCTGTCATGTTGTCCACTGTCCACCATCTTCTCACTCAGTTATCAGCATCCCTACAGGGTACCGGTGTGTGCCTTTCCCTGTAGTGGATACACAGCATCTCTCTGGCTCACCATGTATCTCTTTTCTTTGTTTCCTCCCATGTCCTCTTATTCCTTTATTCCTTCCATCCTCATCATTTTTACCTAAAGCAAATGGCTCACTGGGCCACTGATGCAGCCCCAGGGCCATGTGGAACTTGAAAGAATGTGAGTGTATTCTTTTTGATATTGTTTTGTTTTTGTCAGTATAACAAGCCATGGTCCTTTTCATTCCAAAGTGGGGCTAGAATCTGAGTGTATTAATCTATACCTGGTGCCTGATGGGAGGGGTTACATTTGTTTGCCTGTAGCCCAGCATTCTTGTGGAAGGAAACGATCAATAAGCCCAGATGCAAGGACAATGAGTGTCATGTTAACTGTGTGTCAGGTCCCCTTCCTGACAGGAACCTCAATGATTCATTGAGGGGGGTGTGCGGTGAAATTCACTGACCAGTTTGTAAATAACTAGGAAAAACTGTAGATTCACATAGGGCTGCTGCAGAGGTACCAACTCATGGATTACTGGATCTTATCTGCATTTAAAAAGTTGATTTTTACATAAATTTTTATTTTTAAAAACATTTCATTAAAATACTAGTTATCTTGATCACTGAGTTTTGACACTCCCTTAGATTTTGCATTCCCTTAGGTTTAGTCCCCACCCTGGATTGTTCCCTAGAACTTCAGAAAGCAAGTTATTTGAACAAAGGATTGATTAGTCACTTAGCATGAGCAGCATTGCATCTGTGAATGAATTATAATCATTTTTAAAAGGTCTTCATGGAGCTTGAATTTTTAAAATGCAGCCATGATTCTCAGCTCCTATATTAGTTGATAAGACTTTTTATCAACTTTCTGTCATCCTTACTATCTTCACGAGAGCTGCTTTTTAATATTTATTTTTTTCTGTTTAGTACAATAATCCATGCTCCCACTAAAGCATTCAAATATTGCAGAATATTCAGTGTGTATTCCTCTAAAGTGTTTTCTATGCACACGCTACTGTATATATAATTACAAACGCAGGTTCTCACCACAAAGTCTTCTTTGCTACTTGTTCTTTTCCCTTGACATCTTCAACATTTTTCCCATTTTAATATATAAGGCTATATCTAGTTTTTTAAAAGTTATTTTAATTTTAATTGTGACCAAGCACACATAACAAAATTAACCATCTTAATTATGTTTAAGTATACAGTTCACATTATTGTACAACCTACCTGATTATTTTTATTGTCTATAAAATACCCATTATATGGGTAAACCTAAGTGATGCACTGTTGATGGACGTTCTCCACATGTTCTTAAAAACAACAAGAAGCCCAAATAAATTGCTTGGCCTTTTAAAGTAAGTGTTTTCTTATGAAGAGATGAAGCCAAAAAGCTATCCTAGTGAGCAAGTCTCTTTGGAAAGGTGAGGAGGGAAGCATTCTAGTATTTAAGGGCTTTCTCCGGGCATTCCTTGAAATGAAGCTTCCTTACTAAGGAAGCTTGTTGCTATGAACTGTGGCTTTGCAAAAAAAAAACAACAACAAAAAAAACCTGGACTATGAAGACAAACAGGAAAGAGATCCTACATTCCAGATAAAACAGCCTGTGGTCTTTGAGAGGTAGGCACTTCCTCATGCTCTGCTTAACACCCAAAATGAATGAGATAAAATAATGGGTGGCAGAGAGTGATGAAAATCCTGCTGATCCATCTGGGTCCAGATGGAGTTAAAAGTTCATTATTTTCAAGACTCTTAATTGTAATCACCACAGCAAAGAGGAAAATAACTTATTTTAAAATACGTAAGTGACAGAATGCTTGCATATCTACAAGAAAATCAGGGCAAACCCAGTCAAGATAATTTATTAAGCCAGATTTTCTATTGTTTGGGATCATTATGAGCCATTATTAACGATTCTCTTTTGTTTAGAAATACTGCCAAACTACTTCTTATTCTTGGAGTCCCTAAAAGGACCAAAATGGGCAAGTAACTCATTAGCTTAAATTTCCAAACCAGGTGAAATGTGTGGGTCAAAATGTTAAATAAAGCTAACACATATCTGAACAAAATTACTTTTGTCATGTAACATTTACAAGTGAACATAAATTTATAAATTTATGAAACATAGCTCTCTCTTTTTCTACAGCAGTGAAGATGTTGCATGCAGTAACCAAAGGGAAAGAAATGTTGTAAATCATAGCACCTCAAAGATTTCATGGTAAATCAAATTCAGATATTCCTTTACATCCGAGATTTGCTCCTATTTGCAGGAAAACTAACCAAACTTACAATAATTTTGCAACTAGGCTTTACATTTAAGGTAAATATAAACCAAAAACATCCATGTAGTTGGCTTCTCTGAACCCTTAGGTGGGTCTGAATCAATGGATTGTGGGTTACAGTTTTTCTCACACTGCTTTTTCCTGTCCATTATTCATGATATACACTGGAATTAGCATGAACATTAATATACCTGGCTCAGGCTTCTCCAGCAGGAAGAAAAGCAAGAGTTGAATAACTCTTCCCTTAGAATAGATCTATACATAACCCAAGATATTTTTAAAACTTTATACTACGGCCATCCCTAAAGAAGTCTGCATCTGTTTCATGAGTACACTCTTCAGTAAAAGTCAAAGAAATCCAAGTTCCTGGGCACCTCCCAGGGACCTACCTCCTGTATCAAAGAGCCATTCATGCTCTCATTAAGCTAGGCATGAACCCAACTTTTGAGTGACTCTCTCTTCACTTTGCTGATACTTTTTCAAGCACAGAAAGGGAAACTTAACAGTCTAAATTTTATGTATGTGGATGAGAGCCGGGTGGCATTTGATATTGCATTGCTAGGCACTTGGATTATTTCTTGTATAATTTTTGCATTCGTGTTGTTTCCCAACTCTTCTTAAGGGGATTCCCTGAGTCAAGTTCAGGATTCCCTGAGTCAAGTTCATCTGAAGAAGAGGAAAACCTGGATGATTATGAGTGAGTGTTGCAAGTTCTCTGTGTTCCTCTAAAACTAGACATAGATGCTCCTATTCTTCAGAGGCATTAAAACCGATGGCTCAGACTTTCTCAAGAGGCTGTATTTACATGGGTAAAATCATGTGAGGTTCTGGGCCTTTTATCTAGATGATGGGTGGCAATGAGCTGTGTTATTACCAATGAAAATATTGTGCCCAATCTGGATTATCTAAATTGGGTGCATATATTCATTGGATTTATCATATACCCAATGTCCCCTTCATTTCACTTTGTCTTTGTAGATATAGCATATGATGTTTCTACTCATTCTTTCTTTCCTGGAGGCCTCACATCAGACTGATGTTTGTAAGCTCTTATTAACATTGAGACAGATTTGGGGGGAAGTTATTAATGATGCAGTAGTTTTACATGGTAGCACAACTGAGATGTTGAACATGACAGTATTTATGTTGAAAGATTTCTTGTCATTTAACATCCAAATTGTAATACTTCAGTGAGAGAAAAAGTACACTACTAAAAATTACACCTGGACATAGCGCATAAACTGGACTTTTCTGGGCAAATAAGAATGTGTGCTCACCCCTACTATACTCAGATAGGTTGGCCTAAATGGCCATTAAAGTCCCTTCCAAAATCTAAGGTTCTATCATTCTACAAACAAGGACAAATAGTTGTCCCCAAGACTTAAAGATTAGTGTTAAGGAGAGGTGAGAATAATAGAACATATTGTATTTCTCAGACACTTGATATCCAATGGCACAAAGTTCATTTGGACATTAGGATTATGCATATTTCAAGTTCTGTTTTTGTACAAGTGCTGTGTTATTGATTTATTGGCTACACGTGAAGTGAGAGCTTATACAAAGTACATATTACTGTTTCCACTCCTCCTTTCACCTCTAACCCAGCCTGGCCCTAGCATACCTGTCCCATTGGGGAAGATGTGCTGTACCTTCCACCTCTTTGCAGATGGTCTCCTCACCACCTTCTAGTTCCCTTTTAGCCTTACCTTCTTCCCTAACGTCTATCTAGGAAAGCATCTGATGGAATAATTCATACTAAGGCGTAAAAGACTAAGAAGGACCAACACACATTCATTTCCAAAGATAATGGCACTTTAACAGAAGACAAAGACTTAAACCAATGGGAGTGAACCTCTAATTGTGCACTTTAATCTTTAGCATTTAGATGAATTAGAAGTCTTTCTGTGATTCAGAAAGCCCAGATCTGATCATTTAGACAGCCTTTACCACCATCTTTTCTGGATTTAAGTGGTGCAAGAGAGATGGACATTGGGGAAATTATCACGAAAGAGTTTTCCTCTTCAAAATCAAGGAGATACCAAAGGGAGCTCAGGACTATAGGGCTATATCATCTGGAGCTCAGCTTTCTCACATCGTGCTTCATGCTCCCAGCTTCTTATTCTATCAGGATCACTGACACATTTGTGTTATGGGCACAACTTCACGAGCAATTCTACTCCTTTCCATTAAAGACAGAGGCACCAAGATTTAGATGGAAAATGATGGATTAGGACTAGGCCTAGGCCTCTGCTGATCTGACATTAAAATACTGAAATATTTTTAAAAACAAACAGAACCAGATTTCAGCAAAATTATGACACAGGCAAAGTTTGCATGTGAGTGAGTGGGGGGTAAGGGTGGGATAGGGTATATCCACCATCTCACCTTGCCTCTCCAGGCCTTTCTCCTTATTCCTGATCATCCCTTCCTTCTATCCACCCATGAGCATATATCCTAGGTTAGATCCCCTGAAGGATATTTTGATTAGCTATTATTAGCCTAAAATGTTAACTAATAAGAAAAACTATCATTTACTATCTCAACTGTTAATAATACAGTATCTATAATGGTAGAATTAGAAGAGACCAAACTTAACAATATCAGTCCTCTCCCTAATTTTACAGATGGGCAAGTACAAGGTCAAAAGAGGCTAAGTGGCTTGTTCAAAGTCATACAATTACATATTGGGAAGTTATGTCTAGAACCCAGACTCCAAGCTGGCTGGTCTAAGGCTCTTTCTACTTTATTTAACTATCCACCAGCTGACATCTTCTCCCACAACTAATACAGAGATTATATAGAGAACTATTTCCCATCCATTCCTGCCAAGTTCTGAGACACCTTCTGCCTTGATTTTATCCTACAATTCCTCCCCTCCACCTCCCCACGCCTCATATACTTCTTTCCTCTTCAGTTGTTATCTTCTAGCCAGGGGTCCTCCCAGTCCTCCAAACCCATGCACGATTTCACCTCACACCCTACTCATTTCCTTAGTATGACGTTTTGGCCAAAGCCACAAGGGCATAGACACTGTTGACCTCACATGAGAAACAGCTCTTGGCCTGTTGAGCTCCACGTATAAAGTAAAACATGATGTTCTTGGCTAATTCAGTAAAAGGGGCAATAGTTAAAGATTACACCTGCCTCTCCCACATCATCTTTTTCTTAGTTCAGTACAACTGCTCTTGTCCTAATATCATCTTAGATACTTATGTATCGCTGTCCTGAAAAATAAAAGCCATTTTAAAAAAGCATTTGCTTTGAAAATAGATGTTAGAAAGTGTGCTTCTATTGGATTATTCAAAGGAATTGATAGAGTTGGAAGACAGAGCTTTCATCCTTGGCAACCCTGAATTTCCCATTGGAATATTCTTCATTGGTCTAATCTCTGGCCCTCATTCAAAGTGGTGCAATAGAGGAGAACTTAGAGGTCACCTAGGAGGAAGCCAAAGGTTCCTAGACACTAGCCCATTTAAAGATTCAAATGTGTCCCCACCCCAGAATCAGAATTGTATGGTGGGGACTCAATAATCTGTATTTTCGAAAACCTCTTCAGATGATTCTCTTAAGCAGTCAGGTTTGGGAAGCCCTGATGTAGACCAATGCCTCATTTTACAGATTAGAAAGTTGAGTGCCAAGTCATGCAATTTAAAAAGTATTCATTCTCAAATATGGAATTCTTTCCTGTTGCAGCTGGTTTGCAGGTAACATCTCCAGGTCACAATCTGAGCAGTTACTGAGACAAAAGGTAAATAGTCTTGTCTTTAAAATAACCTCACAGAATCCCTTTTTAATTTGGGGCCCAGAGGTTAAAGCACTTCTCCTAGAAACCTTACTGCTAATTAGACAGTCAAGACATCATAGAGTGTTGGTTGTCCAGTTTATTGATTACCAGGCCTTTCAGGTCTAGACACTTCTATTTATGTTATCTACTGCTGTATAATAAACCACTCCTAAATTTAGTGGCTTGAATAAGAAGATTTATTATTTCTCATGATTCTGTGAGGCAGCAGCTGGCCCAGCAGTTCTTCAGCAGGTTTTGTTTAAGGTTGCTCATGTGGCTGCATTTGGCTGATGGAATTTTTTTTTTTTTTGAGACAGAGTCTCGCTCTGTTGCCCTGGGTAGAGTGCACTGGCATCATCGTAGTTTACTGCAACCTCATACTCCTGGGCTCAAGGGATCCTCCTGTCTCAGCTTCCCGAGTAGCTGGGACTAACTTCTATTTTCAGTAGAGACAGGTTCTCGCTCTTGCTCAGGCTGGTCTGGAACCCCTGAGCTCAGGTGATCCTCCCACATCGGTCTCCCAGAGTGCTAGGATTACAGGCGTGAGCCACCATGCCCAGCCTGGCTGCTGGATTGACTGCGGGGTTAGGTTTAGCTGAGACAGTCAACTGGGGTGCTACAGTTCTTCTCCAAGCAGTTTCTGCATGTGCCTGCCGTGGGCCCCCTCACAGCATGGCAGTGGTCAAAGAGAACAAGCCCCGCAGTGCAAGCACTTATCGAATCTCTGCTTTTGCATGTTTGCTAAGGTCCCATTGCTCATAGCAAGTCACATGGCAGGGTCAACATGGGAGGAGACTGCTCAGGACATGAATAAGAGAGATGATTTATGGGGCCATCAATATAGCCGATTACCTCAGTTCTGTGGCTGCTGGGTAGCACCTAGACCAAAGTACAACGGCTGTGACGGGGACTACATTAATCTGATTTTATTACTAATTGGTATGAATTACCAATAGCAAACTCTTGTGATCTCTAAAAATGACACTTTGTTATAGTTTAACCTGATAAAATACTAAACATACCAATCATTTCTTTGAGGGGGGCTAGTGAGAATGTGATGACCTCGTTTGGTGTCTTGTCACATTCATAGTTTATTATCTGCTCTTTCTGAATCTGAATCTGCTTAGAATTAGCACAAGTCATTGAGAAAGACGAATTGAGTGTAGAACTTTAACAGATGATTCATTCTGGATCTTTGGTTTTCTAAACCCTTTTAAGGGCACGATATGGTGATATGTGATTCTAAATTTTATTTCATAAAGATGAAAACATTAGGCTTGCATAAGTACAGAACAGAGAAAATGATCCGAGAGGGTTAAAACTAACTGGAGAGGAAGAGTTGAAACACTCAGGATAGAGCTATATAGATAATGAGTGAGAAAAGGAAGAAAGCTAAACTGTGAGCTTGGTTCTGTGCCAATAGTTAAATAACCTGTGCCCTTGGTGATATTTAAGGTGGATCTAAAAGATTTTCCTACCACCTACCATGAAAAATCATTTTCGAAAATAACAAAAATGTTTTCTCTTCCTTCTACATTTTCCTTCCTTTTCAGGGGAAAGAAGGAGCATTTATGGTTAGAAACTCCAGCCAAGTGGGGATGTACACAGTGTCCTTATTTAGCAAGGCTGTGAAGTAAGTATTACAAGAGTTTATTTCTTTTATCTTTCTGTGTATGTTCCTTGAATATGCCGGTCACTTGATCACATTTAGGGATAAGGTGCCATCTTTAAACTCTGGAATTTGGGATCAAAGTATTTCTGTTGAATGTGACCATTTGTACTTACCTTCCCTGCCCCCCTACTTTCAAGAGGCTGTTCTCTGGGTAATCCTCTCCTGCCCACCCCAGGCAGCGGCAGAGCATCCAGAGTACAGCACACCTCAGTCAATACTGATTAAAAGACTCCTCCTGGGTGATTCCCTTCAATTCAGGCCTCAGCCTAGAAAGAGAGAAAATAGCAACGAAGCCTCTACACTCTCAGCTCTAGCCACCTGCTGAGCTGAGAAGCCTCCTCCAGTGTTCAGTCTTTAGTAAGCCTTCCCAGTGGGGGCTGAGTTCACAGAAGGTTGACAGTACAGTTGTGTTCTCTGCACAGCTTCCTTCTAGGGCACTGTCCTCTTTGTGCGGTTAAGAGTTCTTGTTTGAAGCAGAACTTCTAGATCCTGGCTCTAGCATTTCAGGGCTTTGTGACATTGAGCAAGTTTCTTAACCTCTGTTAAGAGTGTTAAGAGGCAATGTCACATGGCATTTCATCTTCTTCATCTGAAAAGGCGACATAACGATGATTATTACGTTCCATGGATAAACTGAGTTAAATTCATGTATTGGATCAGAACAGTGCCTGGCACTTAATTAACTAATAGCAATTACTATTATTTTGTTGTTGCTGGGAAAGAGCAGTTCTACCTGCTCCACTCTCCCACCTCAACACTTAGGCATGTAAGATACCCCACAGTTATTTCATGCAAATCATCATCACCAACATCAGGATCTCTGTCAGAGTTTTACAGGCCACTTACCCATTGGCTGTTAGCTCTTTTGTTCCTTCTAATCATCCTCCAAAGCCAATAGGAAAGCTGTTTTTATTTACACCATTTTACACATGAGAGGATTGAGGTTCAAAAAGAGCTTATGAAGAGCTGCCCACAAAGCTAATAAGTGACCAGTTTGCAGCTGGACCTCCAACAGCCAAGACATGTCCCTTCATCCACACCTCTGTGTCTGCACTGAAACCCCCAATGTTTTGGAATGAGAATCTGGTCAAACCTTGATTAGGACCATTTGAAAAAAAATTTCTATGTGTGCAACCCTTTTTTAGAAGCTAGATTGAATGACTCTGCCTTGGTGCCATCTCTGTGTGCCCTTCCCCTCGGTGCATATATTCATGTATATTTATAATTAAGTAATGAAAAGTTATTTTATTTTGGGAATGTTTTTACAGAGTACCTACCTCCAACTTGAGATAATAAATAAGATGTACGCTGAGTGGTTACATGGCATTTTCCAGGGCCAGAAGCCGTGTCCCCTGTGCATCTCATATATTAATACTAGATTGCACATGGTAACACCTGGATGCTGGCTAAAACCAACCCAGAATGGGCTTGAGTGAATTCCCTGCTGCCACCAAGAGCTGATTTGCCTTTTGCAACAAAAAAGCACGCTTTCTCCTTTTATAATTGCAATTTTAACTAGGTTGGTATTACAATTTATTAACTGTTTCTTATGTGCCAAGCATAGTGGAAATATAT